TCAGCCTGGAGCAAAGGAGGCTCAGGGGGCCCTTGTGGCTCTGCACAGCTCCTGCCAGGAGGGGACAGCCGGGGGGTCGGGCTGTGCTCCAGGGAACAGGGACAGGAGCAGAGGGAACGGCCTCAGGCTGGGCCAGGGCAGGGGCAGGGGGGATTTTGGGATAATTTCCTCATGGAAATGGTTGTCCAGCCCTGGCACAGCTGCTCAGGGCAGTGCTGGTGTTCCCATCCATGGAGAGATTTAACAGCACTGTGAGTGTGGCTCTTGGGGACAATGGTGCCAAATCAGTGGCCTCAAAGGTCTTTTTCAGCTTTAAAGGTTCTGTGACACGTGGCACTAAAAACCAGAAAATGCCTCCCTGAGGATCAGCATTCCTCCTTGTCCTTGTGCACCATTTCAGGCTTTCTATGAGGGATCAGCCTGGGAGTGGCTGCTCCCACCCCTCCGTGCTTCCAGCTGCCCACATCCCCCAGCTGCTGGGCAGCCGATAGCAGCCCTGTGTTCCTGTTTGGGTAAAAATAGCAGGAAAGGAGGCTCAAATCCACCAGGAAGAGCAGAAAAAGGAGAGAGAAGGAGAACAACAACCTGTGAGTTAAGTGAGCGGCCAAACACAGGGGTGATGAAAGAAGTGGGGGCTGTGTGGTAATGCTGTGCAAGAGAAGGTTCCCCCCATGGCAGAGCTGGGGTGAGCTGCTTTTGAGAAGTTCACAATGCAAACAGGAATGCAGAACTTCTCATCAAAAACCACACTTGCATCATGTCAGGTTGGGACATGGTGTGGCACAACCGGTGTGGAAATGCCATGTTTTGGCAAAGGGAGGGGAAAATGCATCTTCAAAATAGTCAATTAGTAGGAAAAAAGCTTCATTTGCTTGTGTTTGTTTACATCTTTATGAGGATAACTGGCAGCTAGAGAAAATCTGGATTTGTTTTTCTCCTCAGTTATTTTTCCCTTGTGCCATTTCCATGCTTATCAAATCATGGCTCTCCTGCTTTGGCTGATAGAGCCTTTCAGCAAAGAAACTGTAGAGACAACTTTCCAGTCACCTAATTAAACAAACATGTTGATTGAAACTTCTCCAGAGTGCTTTTCCTAGCAATTTGCCAATGTTTTATTAAAATAAATGTCAAGAAAAACACTGTCACAGGCTCAAATAATTTAGATTTTGGAGTTCCTGTAGTCCACACTGCTCAGAATAGGGCTGGCTTTGATGTTGGATTGGGTAGCCCTTGGAATCCCAGGGTTGGGGATGAAAGTTTTACAGTTTGGAAACAATTATTTGGAATTTCCCCCTCCAGCTGTGCTATTACTTGTGTTACACTGTGTGATTGATATGCAGTACAAATACTCTACTTCTCCATGATGTCTTCCAAGAAAAAAGGAAGATCTCTCTCTCTGGAAGTGAGACCTTTGTGCTGAGTGTTCACCCAATGCCCAGGATCCCAGAACAGGCACCAGAGCAGGATCTGAGGGGGTGACTTGAAGGAAGAGTGAAGAGTTCCTGTTCCCATCCCCTTCACCTGTGACGTGTTTGAGTTGGGCAGGGACAGGATGTCCTTGGGCACCTGTGCTGGGCTCAGGGGAGGGGATTGTGAGACCCCACCTTCAGAGCTGCCCCAGCCCTGGGCACAGCACAGGAGGGACCTGGAGCTGCTGGGGAGAGCCCAGAGGAGGCACCAGAGATGCTCTGAGGGCTGGAGCCAGGCTGGGAGAGCTGGGGGTGCTCACCTGGAGAGGAGAAGGCTCCAGGGAGAGCTCAGAGCCCCTGGCAGAGCCTGAAGGGGCTCCAGGAGAGCTGGAGAGGGACTGGGGACAAGGGATGGAGGGACAGCACACAGGGAATGGCTCCCAGTGCCAGAGGGCAGGGATGGATGGGATATTGGGAATGGGGAATTGTTCCCTGGCAGGGTGGGCAGGCCCTGGCACAGCTGTGGCTGCCCCTGGATCCCTGGCAGTGCCCAGGACCAGGCTGGACGGGGCTGGGACACCCTGGGACAGTGGGAGGTGTCCCTGCCATGGCAGTGGAAGAGCTTTAAGATCTCCTCCAACCCAAACCATTCTGTACTTAAACCAAACCAGCTCTGAGGGTGTGACAGCCCAATAAAGGTGCTGCAAAGCCCATTTTTAAATGACACACTTGACTCAGGATTCAGTGAAAGGATCCTGTCCCTTTTCCATCTCCTCCCCTTGGCTTCCCTGATGGTGCTGATCCCTTGTGAGGCTCCACAGCTGAGGAGCTGCAGAGGAAGGGGTGGGAGCCCCTGATTTGGGGTTCAGCTCCCCGGGATGTGTTCATCAAACAGCTGCTCCCCACAGCAGGAATTGGTGCTTTGGACCAGCAGAACTCACAGCAACGTTTCTTCTTGCAGGCAGCTTTCCCCCTTATTTTGGCAGGAGTTGTTGACTGAGGAAGTGATAACAGAGGAGGTTCTTATCAGAGCCCAGCAGCCCTGCAGCAGGAATGCTGATGAGCGTTCAGGGGCTGCCTCAGCCCTGGCAGCGAGCAAGCGGAATTGTTAATGCTTATATTGGAACGTTTCTGTCCTGTTTTTAAACTTCTTGACAAAACTCTTGAGATTTGGTGGCTTCTTCCAAGCCTCATTAAAATCAATAAAAAGCTTGTTGCAGATTTTGTGAAGGTTGGTTTTTTTTTCTCTCATTTGGACTGAAACCACACGAAGTCAGTCCAGCTCCTGCACCCGAAATGTGTCTCTTGCCTTTTGCAAAGCAAATACGTGGCCAGAACAGTGTCCCTGAGGAGTCATTCTGGGGTTGTATAGTCTGCCTTCAGAGCTTTTTTGTGTGTGTTTAATGAACTTGCTCCGTATTCCTCTCAAAGGTGACTTTGTATCAACAGGCAGCTGTGAATTTGAACTTGTTGCATGCTCAGGCTGGTACCTCACAGTCCAACTGTGCCCATTCCCACCTGGGTGCTGGGATTGATTATCAACCCATAAAATTATTGGGATTGGTGTTTGACTCGTTGGCTGAGAGAGATTTTTTTAAAACAAAAACAAAGTTGACCTCTGTTGCAGGTAATGAAATGTTGCTTTTAGAAAACTGTTTTATGAAATGGTAAATCAAAGTTTAGCTGAGGTTTTAGACAAGCTGGCATTGACACAGGGGCTTTCTGTTAGAGCACATCCTCAGCTCCAGCTCCCTGTTTGTGTAAATACTGAGATTCCATGAGATTCCCTGAGGTGTCCATCATGTGAGATGGTAGAATTCCTTCTGGTGCATATCCATTTGTGTTAGAACCTTGGAATCATGAAAACCCTGCGTGGGAAGGGACCCACAGGGATCATTGATCCAGCCCCCAGCAATCCCACCCTGTGCATCCCTGGCATCTCCCCTCAGTGTCCTCAGCTCCAGCTGAACATTCCAAGTGCCCTCAGCCCCTCCAGACCCCTCCCCATCCTTGTGCCCCTCCTTTGCTCCATCTCCAGCAGCTTCAGGTCCTGCTGACATTGTGGTGAAACTGAGGAGAGGCCACCCCAGAGCAGGGCTGGACAATCCCCTCCCTCACCCAGCTGGGCACACCTCCCTGAAATGCACAATTTTTGATGCACAACTTCCTAAACTTTCTTTCCACTCTATCAGTCCTAAAATTAATCTCCTTTTTCTGCGTATTACCTCTTCTCCTTGTCGTAAACCATAAACTAAAGGACACAATGAACTCAAAATACAAAAGCGTTTTATTTCACTTACCAGAATGTGAAAATTATCAGTAGTTGTGGCATATCAAAGCACAGGCAAACTATTCCCAGCAGCAGGATTGTGTGGTGCAGAAGTTGGACTTTCCAGGCATATCCAGGTGCAGAGTGCTGCTGGGAGAGTGTCCAAGCTCTGTCAGGAGCAAACCTTTGGGCACAAGGGAGTGGTGTCCCAGCAGTTTGGCTGCTTGTGTGCTTTAGGAGCAATGGGAATTAGTCTGGAACTTCCAATTTTAGTGCTTGGTATTTTAGCATTAAGCTTTATGTCCTTCTGATGCCACAGGAGGTGTCTGTTGGTCCTGTTGGAGTGACTGTAGCAATGAAGCTGATCAGATATTTTCTCCATCTGATTTTTGATAAATGTGTATTTCTGGCACACTCCCTCATTTTTGATGCACTGAGTGTTTTGTAGAGCACTTGAGAATGCAAAGGAAAGGGCTTGGCAGGAGTGGCCTGGTGAGCATTGCTGCTCCCTGGGTTTTTGCACCTCTGCACCAAAGCACATGGGCAGCAGCTCTTTGGGGGTCCAGAAATTCCAGTGCAGTGTCAAATCAAACCCACTTTGAAGATCAATATAAACCCAGTGGGGTCTTGTATAAAACTCTCTCCTGTAGCTGGTATTGTGAAGTAATTTAGGCTTTGTTTGCTCATTTATGAAAACCCTGGATTGCTTTGTGGCCACAGCTTCAGAAGTGTTCCTTGCCTTACCCACAGGTATCCACCAGAACCCAGTCCTGGAATTCCCTCTCTGGGCATGTTTAGCTCTTGTTACAAGTCCAAGGCACTCAAATTTTCTCTTTTTCCCCTTGAATTAATCCAGGCTCCCCCCAGAGTGGAGTGTCCTGTCTAGAACAAAGGTTCAAAAGTGGTTTTTGAAGGGAAGTTCATGTTTTAAAGTGCTGTCCTTGTGTTTGCAGCTGCCAATGTGAAGTATCAGAAGAGAAGAGTTGGAACTTTCTGGGACAAGAGAGGACTGTTCATTCTCTCATTCTTTGGTAAGATCAGCTGCTTGTTTGTGGCTTCTGTGCACATCATTGATTGTTCTCTTAATTAAATCAAATGTTTTCTGAGATCTTAGATAAAAATGAGTATTTCACTGAGATGGAGTTTGCAGCCTTTAATTACTGAAAAGGAAGGTTCCTGACTCTTGGTTGTGCCCAAACTTCCAACAGAATTCTCTGTCCTGCTCCTATTCCTGACCAGTCTGTGTTGTCAGCTGCTCTCCCAGTGAATCCTGGGAGAGTTGCTCAGTCCTGTGGTGTCAGGGAAGAGGAGAAACCTCCCTGTCAGGCACTGAGAGCAGGGAAACTGAGTATTTGTCCTTATCTCAGACATTTCCTTCCACTGCCAAAGGGGAGAAGTATTTTCAGCTTGCTACAGAAGCATCTTTTGCTCAAGGTACAGCACATTCCTGAATGTTCAATTCTCAAATTTTCTAATGCTCCTTTGCCAAAAAATTTGCATTCCAAACTCAGAGGGCAGCTGTGCCACTGTATGTAAACAGCTCAGTCTGATTTTGGTATTAAAATACATGGAATTCAATCTGGTTGGGGAAGGTAAGGGAATAAATACTTGGATTCTTCCTTTTTCCTTTTTTCCCTCCAGTTTTTCTTGCTGAAAGTCCAACTGTGTTTAAATATATGTGAATCTAAACGATCCTTTATTTAGCTAATCCTTTTTGTTTAGATTCACTGGCAAACAGATGGTTATTGCAACTCTTAATTATGCACATAATTTAAAGCAGAAGGTGCATCTGAAACAAAAGGTAATTAAGATGTTCCCAGAGAGGCTGAGCAGAGGCTGAGGTTACAACCTTTGCTCATCATTTATCCTTTCAAGCAGAACACAAGGATGGAGAATTAACAAGACCATTCTCTTTTTTGACATAATTTAACACTCATGGAATTGCAGGTAAAAGGGCAGACAGTAAATTGATAGCATCACCTTTTTTTTGGCCTCAGGCCTGACCAAACCCAATATTTGTACCAATAAAACCAAGTTTTATTTCAGTGCTCTGTGTATAAGCTGGCTGCTATTTTTATGTGATGCTGTTGATAAGGAGGAGCCTGAGTTAAGGCTGCTTTCCTGGCCAGGTTTTTCACTGAGCTGGGTTTGTACCTTTCCATTTCACTTCTGGAAAATGGCTTGTACTGTCAGGGCAGAGCTGCAGTTGAACAAAATGAGAATTCTCCTTCCATTCTGCAGTCCTAATGCAAATTAGTATTTCACTAATTTGTGCAATACTAATACTGCTGCTCCTTTTCCCTCTGTATTTGCATTTCACTGTCCTTGCTGTCTTTTAGAGCCTGTCTTTTTCACAACTTTCTCAAAACCCTCTTATTTTATAGATTCCAGCAGTGTGGATGAGCCTGAGCTTGGGTTTGTGCAGGGTTTGCTGCTTTGTCCCCAGCTGTCCCTCAGAGCAGGGTGGGGAATGATGGAGGGAGGGTTCAGGAGTGCTTGCTGGAGCTGATGGTGTGAACAATGTTCTTTCTTCTAAAGCCAGAAATGCCCTCATGGGGTGGCAGCAGTCACTGGGATCCTCCTTGTGTTCCCATGGGGAGAGTTTGGTGAGCTGGGGCTGGGTTAGAAAGCCTTGGGGTAGGGAGAAGTGTGGGTTCAGTGTGCCTTGGGCTGCCCTGAGCTCCCAGAGCTGTTCCCTTTCCCTTTTGCTCAGCCCAGGGACCTTGAGCTGCTGCAGGGAGCGGGCTCAGCTCGTGGATGTGATGGGAAGGGAAGGATTTCTCACCAAATATTCCCTGTCCAGCAGCTCAGAGAGCCTCAGTGTAACAATTCAGCCTTTTTGCTATTTCTGTCAGCAATTTTCAGCATTCCTTTGGTGGCAGGGAAGTTGCTGCAGCGTTTCACTGATGCCCAGCAGCAGCCAGAGCAAAGTGTTTGCTTTAGAACAGTCCTGTAACTCCTTGTACCATTTGTCTTGGCAGCATCACCCTGTGCATCTGATGGTCCTGATCCAAACTGAAACAGGCAGATTTCTTTTCCACACAGCTTTCCCAAAATTCACCTTAAAAAGGAGGATTCTCACATGGAAAAAGCCACACTGTCACAGTAGAAGCTGTTCTGTACTGATTGCAGGAGTTACACTGAAACTTGGGATTTTGGGCAGTCTCTGCTGGAGGTTTGTGCTGGATTTTAGGAGCACAGCTGTAAGATATTTAAAAAGACTCAATTTTCTAAGCTAATACTGCTTTTATTAATATGTAGATGGTTATATAATAAACTTATAAATTACATATATCTAATCAAACTGAAGTATGAAAGAATTTTTCCAGCATAGTGCCTATTAAATTAAAACTTTTCCTCAGAAGATACTAAGCAAACTTCAAATTCGTAATAAAGCAGATTGTTCAAATTAAGTTGGTTTTTCTTTGATAATTGTGTGTGAAGCTGAAAGAGTATTTTTTATATCATACTGTCCTGGAATGGTTTGGATGGGAAGGGACCTTAAATGATGTATTTTCATTTGTAAGTTTTGTGTGCCACACTCTGCAAACCCCATAAATACCTGAGTGAATCCTGGTTGGGTAGAACAGGGAGGAACCTACCTGGATTAAAAAAGCTGAGTGTGAAATCAACCTCAAACTCAAATTGTAACTCCTGTAGTCACTTCAGTCATTGAGTTCTTAACTGGGTGATTTGTAAAACCTCAGGGCTGTGTTAATATTCCCAGAAAATCTGCAGATGATCAAACCTGGGGGATTGTTGGGTAGTGGAGAGGGCAAGTCCCAGTGTAGTGATCTGGAACTCTTGGAAATGTCAGTGCAGGAATGGATGTTTTGGTGCATCCATGGATATCCAAAACCAGCTGTAAGTATAAAATGAGGATTTTTATCCTGACAAGAACTGCAGTTCATGTGCCACAGCTGAAACAAGCTTGTTCCAGGAGGATCCAAAGCCAGATCAGCCCCAGCAATCCCTTTGGGTTTGTATCCCACGGATTTCTGATTCACCATCTGCAGGCAACTTGGGAGAAAATTCCAGGGTATCCAGAAAAATGAACATGTTTTAATTTAAATTATATAAACACTGGTCTAATTGCTGCCTTCAGACAGGTGTTCTCCCAGCAGCACATCCAAAGGTAATTTTTCAGGAGGAACAGAAGGAACCAGACACATTTTGAAACAATTTTGGCTCTCAGGAGAGGGAGCTTCTATAGATTTCATCTTTTCATAATTACTGTTTGCTCTCAGTTTTCTAACAGCTACATTCACAGTCTTTAACAGTTAATTTGTATTTATTTGCTAAAAGAAAATGAATCTTATTTCATCATTATACTTCCCTTATTTTCTAGGTTTTAGTAAGTGAAGAGCTCCAAGAATTGCAAGTGAAGACGAGGATTGCTCCTCCTGCCCAGGGCCTGTCATGGTAAGCAAAGGGGCTTTGGAGGGCCTGGGACAGAGCAGGAGAGTTTGAAATGGGAAAAACGTGAGGGAATGAATGTTTACATGTGGGGTTGCTGAGTCTGAGGCATAGTGCTAATGCTTTTTTCCTAATGCTGCTATAAATTTTGCAGCATTTAATGACTTTATTCATCAGGCTGTGGGAAGGAAACTGGTTGCTAACACCACATTGTTGTCTGAGGGCCCATGTTGGAGGGTTTGGAAACTTCAGTGAGTTACTGCTCCTGGAATTCTCTGGACACCTCACCCTGTGGGAGCTTTTCCTTGGCTGTGGGTGGCTGGGGAAGGTGGCAGCAGTGCCAGTGCTGAGGGTGACTGGCACACTTTGTTCCTCAGGATGAAGAGACTCAGCACAGCCTTGAATGCATCCAGGCTAATCAGATTTTTCCCAGGAAGCAGCTGATCCGAGAGGATGAGAACCTTCAGGTAATGACCACACTGCTCCTGCTCAAATCTCACTGCCTCCACTTGGTTATGGATTCTCTGGCCTCTCCTCTAGAATTTTAATTCACAGTTAGCACAGAAACTCATTTGCTCTGTTGGTAGGACAGAGAACTTGGACATTTTGTTACAAGAAATTCCTTCAAGTGTCTGAAAAATATCACTGCTGCCTGTGCACTTATTCCAAGGGTAGGGATTTATTCCATAGTTTAGAAATCTGTTGTTTTGGAAAAGCAGCACTAAGCTGATTAAACACTGCCTTGGCACCTGGCTGTTATGAAGCCAAAAGTCTTCTGTTGCATAAAAAGAGATATTTTAAAATTCCTTTATTTTCCAATGTCCTTTTGCAATCAGTTTAGTTCAAATTATTTTCCATAGAATCATGGAATAGTTTGGGTTGAAAAGGACTTTAAAGCCCA